TTTTGGTCCTAACAGATAACATCCTGAGATGCGACTCTAAAGGCTAAAAAATTGCTATGAAAACTCCTTTATTCTACGTACAATGTGACTAATTGTTCTTTTTTTAAAAATACGGATATCTTAAGATTATACAAAAGATATCGCCAGATATTTTGATATAAAAAATATTGTTTGTTTGTTTGCGAAATTATTTGGTCATTTTCACGACCTAGCTGTGGACCAAATTAAAAAAAACAAATTTGGACTTATGCATGCTATTTGATTTTAGGAAAAATCTCATTTGTTGTGGAGATACAAAATATTCTTTGAATTCATCTCTTATTTGTTGCGCTGCGACTAGTGGTTTTCTTGCAACATTTCTCAATCCAAGCAATGGTTCTCTTTGGACATCTTTGTAACCTACCAAATGAACTCGGTGATTCCACCAAAATTTTAAACTTAAAAAAAAATTATTAAAGTATTAACTACAATTAAAAATGTTGTCTACTACGGTTACACAAGTTTCGGCTGTTCCGGTGTCAACCTTCGGGCCTTCGACGTCGCTCAGACGGCAGCTAGGGGGTGGATAGCTTACAAGAAATCCGGAAATAGTAGACAAATGAGTAGGCGCCAACTGGGTCTATATAGTGGCCAAACTATGATCCTATTTCCCCAAAAACCCAGTAAATGAGGAAAGTAATAAAAGACAAACCTCAACTTATGTTCCTTTATAAAAAAAAATGAAAAAAAAATATTTACTAAATATATCAACTTTAAATTTCAACAATTTATTATGAGTTTGACAAATTACTAAAACTAATTAATTACCTAATTGCTTTAGATAATAAAAAAAAAAAAAATAATAAGTTGGAGGAAATTAAAGGAAAAGTTTACACCATATATGTATATGCATAACCCAAAATAAATTATTAAATGTATCAAAATATGGCACAGTTCGTCGTTAGCTTAGTACCAGGCATGACGCTTGCGTAAAATATTAATTTCCACCTTACATAAAATATAAAATAATAGTTAACTTAAACCTTGTGCATAACCGCACCTATACTACATCATATATTGTAAAACAGTAAACTTATAATCCTTACAAGCTTATAACCCTCTTCAAATTGGAAGGCGATATCTGCTTAACTTTTAGTTAAGACCAAACTACCCAAAAGAAAATTATTAAACCATGAAATTTTATAATTAAATATAATTCATAGAACTAAATAAAAATATCAAAAAAAATAAAAATACAATGAATATATAAAGGACTTTAGACACAGAGGTTATTTACTTAAACTCCCAGGTTGGAAGAGGTTACTTAATCTCTGCCCCCACACGGGTCTTCTGAGATTGCTTAACTTATACGTTAAGTCTTATCATAAAAAAAAAAATAAATAAAATATAAAAATGAAGGATAAGGTTAAATTTGACTGTAGCTCTTAATAACTGAAGGTTTACAACTTAAGCGTAGAAGCAGTCCAGATGTTTTGCAACTAGAAGAATCACTACTCCAGCATTAAGTGGTTATTAAAAAAAATAAATGAAAAATACACAAAGGACTTCAGACACCGTTGATATACTTTAAAGCTCCCATAAATAGGAAGAGGTTGTTAAATCTCTGCCCCCACACGGGTCTTCTGAGATCGCTGAACTTGATCGTTAAGTCTGGTCCATTTAATAATGAATAAATTGAAAAAGTAAAATTATGACAGTAGCCCTTAACAACTGAAGAATTGCAACTTAAACGTGGAAGCAGTCCAAGTGTTCTGCGACCCGAAGGATTACTACATCAGCATTAAGTGCTTAAATTAAGAAAAAGTTTGAAATATTAATCAATTAAACGATGTAATATTTGATAATACATAAGTTATGAGTGAAAGAACCCTAGAACTTTCTCTGCTCAAAAGTATAAATAATGTTGAGAATAACTTGACAACATTCGGTTGAAAGTGAATGTATAGTTTAACAAGGCACACATGAAACCTTCAATATAACGTATAAAAAAAATCTGATAGTAGGGTGTCTTCTTTCACAGCATTCCCATCTTCCTATCCAGAACGAGAATCATCCTTGTAAATCTAGCTACAAGTAAGCTAGGCGGCTAGCATACCAATGTTCTGTGTTCCCTCGATGAGTCCACGATGAAACCGTTGAACTCCGGACGATAAAACCCTCTGTGTACAACTGTTGAAATCCTGAGTCGCTACCCCCTGGGTAAAAGTTGTTGTCGTATCCTGAGTTAACAACCCCCTGGGTGAAACTTTCGTCGAATCCTGGGTTAACAACCCCCTGGGTGAAACCCTTAAAATATTACAAAGAAAAATGTCAATACACATTGACTCAAGTATCCCGAACTATAGAATTACCCAAAAATGTACATAAACTAGAAACTATTCAGCATCTAGGATGAAGAAAAATTACATTGGCTCAACAGTGAGTCATAAACAGTATTATGAGCTCAAATAATTAAAATTCTGTTACACCATGCCATAACATAAAAGAAATTGACAGCCACATGGTGCGTAACATAACCCAATATATACAAAACATACCTTTTTCGTAAAGGGTATGGAGGGTAGAGAAAAGGAGGACAATCTTATATGGATCTTTAAATTAAAAAGTGGCCACCAAAATGTATACAATTAAGGTGGCGCTCGTGTAGCCAGGGGACAAAATCCAATGCTATATAGTCATATAGATTGCTCATTTATAATGAAATCAGACAGGAAGCAGTAAATTGAGACCTCCGTGCCATTTTAATATAAGAATTATTTATATTATTATTTTTCAATAAAATTTGACTATTGTCGTGTATTGTCAAAATTTATCTACGATCACAGAACACTTACTCTTCTACGATCAGTCACTTTTCACGGTGTAGATTTTAGTTTTTTATGGTTGAGCAATATTTATTACTATATACATCATTGGTGTCATTGTGTGATCTGAATTATCGACTGTCGACGTCCCCTGGGCACAGAAGCGCCATCTTAATTGTATACATTTTGAGGGACACTTTTTGTATACAGAGATTGTTCTCCTTTCCTCTACCCTCCATAGTAAAGGGTTAACTTGGTAGCCTTCCAAGGATGAGAAACACGTGAGATGATACACAGCACAACAATATTCCACACTCCAAATGCTGTGAACTTCCAATTATTGCGTTAAAATCCTATACTAGATATGGGCTGGACCAATGACCATAGGAATTTACCAATACACTAAAATTCCTCTCAAAATACGAAATGCCCATTTACCCACAATTAACCATGAAGTAGAATCTAAAATCCCCTTTAATTAGGTAAGCCGATGAGGCTAAATATTAACAAAATTCTACTTCGACGCAAAATTCGTTCTCCTCGTGATTCAACACCCACTGACTAAAAAAAATACGTCAGCCGTCCAAAATGGCCGAAGTCCCTTTCCGATAAATGTCAAGCCAAGTGGGTTATGAAATTCATCCTCAAGAATTTCCCACTATATAACTTAAGAGACCATTTACGAAAGGTACCCTAAAAACTATATTTATATACAGTATAACTACATTTGGGAAACTGTTCCCGACAAAAATTAATACAACAGCGATCGCAAAAAAAATCCCTCACGACTTAAAATCGCTAATTGTGAAACTACCTTACCTCGGGTTCTGAGCCCGATATTGGAACGTCCTCCAAATATGACACTTGTCGGTGTTCTGTCGTCAAATGACGTTTATGTCATTCACTGTCACAATTAAAAAATATTAACCTAATACTGACAGCTATAACAAAAATAAGCAATGAAATTCTTAAAGAATGGTATCGTAAATAATTAATTACCCAAAGGTGAGACTATAATACATAATATATATAAATTTACAACGAAACTTGGTCTATTTTTAGGAGAACTACCATCCTTTTACTTAGTGGTGAGATGAAACAAATTGTAATAATGATGTCCGAAAGTTAGAATACAGGTGAAATTAGTTAATGACAAAAATAATAGTGATATCATCAATACGACTTTACCCTTTTTTTTCGTATGATTAACCAGGTAAGCCAAAACAATTTTATTAATTCGTGTGGCCAAAAATGAACGTTACATCTTGTCTCCATGAACCCGGGATAATTAAATTATTATCGAGATCCTCAATATCAAAAGTTCCTGGTGGAAAATAAGTGTTAATGGATTCAACATTTCTTCGTAAAAAATTGTGGAGATAAAGGCAGGTTAAAGTGACAAGTTCTACTTTGTTCGGGTCTAATGCTATGGGCTTAAGCAAAACTCTGAACTAAGAAGATACAATTCCGAAAACGTTTTCAATTATTCTTCTTGCTCTAGAATGTCTATAATTATATATTCGTTTGGGATTGTTAGAACCAGGTTACTGACCAGGATATGGTTTCATAATATTTGTACTTAAAGCAAATGCCTCATCAGCGGCAAATATATATGGTATTGGTTTATTTCTTCCAAGCAATGGTTGACTGGGTGGTAACCGGAGCCTTCCTTCACTAAGTTTTTTATAAAAACTGGTAAATTTCAAAACTTCTCCATCAGATATTCGCCCTTGACATCCAACGTCAGCATACAGAACATTATAATTTGCGTCCGCAATGACGAACATCACAATACTATGTGTTTTCTTATAATTAAAATAGAGACTTCCACTATGTGGTGGGACAACAATTTGAATATGTTTACCGTCCATAGCACCAACACAGTGGGGGAAATTCCATCGGTTATTAAATCCCTCGTTAATAACGATCCATTCCTCTTCTTCTGTCGGAATCTGAAAAATTAAACTAATTATGGGTTTCTTACAGAACACTTCCACGGATGCAATAGAAGAAGATTCACAAAGCCTCATCAAAGATGAAACTAATACCACTGAAACCGATATTGATGTTCATCACCAGGAAAACATCATCAATCAGTCTAGCACATTACCAGTAAAAAGAAAGCAATTTGTTTCTCCACTACCAAAGAAAATACGAAAAGTTGATGATTCAAATGCAGGTGAAGCTTTGAAATGCATGAAAACGCTTGCCGACACGGTTTCAAAACGTGATGAATACACTGTTTACGGGGAACATATTGCTAATAAACTTAGAAACAGCGGTAGATCAAAGTTGGAAATAGCATCTGCTCAGACTGCAATTGATTATATCTGCTTTAAATTATTGATGGGTGAATTTTGTAATATACGTTCAACTGCATCATCCTCTGCAGCAAGTTCAATCATTGTATTGGGTTCTCCACAATTTAGTATTCCGTCATCCACAGCGACATCGCCATCACCCCAAATTGCTACAGTATCAGAGTCTACACAACTATCTCATCAAACTACAGAATTCCAACAATCTGACAGTTAACTCTGTATTGCAAACATTAATTTTGTGCAAGATAACTGTTAAGCGCAGGGTCAACAGGTGTATGAAAATGAAAAAAGATATTCCAATAACATTCATCTACATCAATCCGTAGACTTAGAACAATCCAATGGAGCAGAACATTTTAGATTATTTTATAATAATACCAAGAACTTTATAGATCTTTAGATGTCTACTTTATTTAGTCGCTAAAATGTTTTTTTTTTTTCTATTTTGAGTAAAGTTTTGATTGTTATTTTATACCTCGTAAGTCATTTGGCCATTTGCACCATTATTTAAAGAGAACTTAAGTTAAACTTTAATTTTTCCACATATGGGCCTATGCTTATTAAAATATAATAGTAGAGTCATGTGACTGTAAAGGTGAGCAAAGTTTAGATTTACTTAAATGTTGTTGCAAGTTACCAATAATTTTTAATTTTGCTGTTTCACGGTTTTATGTGTCAAAAAAAATGATTAATGCATACTATCTAGATAAATAAAATTAATTTGTATGTAAACTTACTTTTATATAAGGTTTTAAAGCTGTAACAATGGCATTGCACACAACAGGTACGCTTAGAAATTCGAAATGTGTACATCAAACTAGTATATGAATCACCACTTGCTAGATATCTACGAGTTATTGCTAGCCGCAATGTAATAGGGATGGCTGCTCTATATTTTGTATCTTGTTTACAAATATTTGGGCCAATCATTTGAATTAATATCTCAAAATCAATTGGAGTCATCCTAACAAAGTTTTTAAATCCAGATCCATCATTGAATTTTAGGTCTCTTAATAAATTCGAAGAATGTTTTATTCCATTTTGCAGGAGTTCGCGTACCCACCAACGTTTTTCTTTTCTCTTCTTTTTTAATGTAAAATATATTATATATCCAGCACAAATGCCCGCCACTGCCTCACTATTCACCGACATGTTTTTGTATTTAGTCTGGACTCAAATGCTACCTCGTTTGAACTAATGTTTAATGAAAACAAAACACCATACACACGTGTATAAATGTTTTGTTTGCATGCAAATGTTTCCAAACATTTGTTTGTGGGCAGTGTATGTAGGTCTGAACTAGGCTTAAGTCAAATGGCACCATCAATCATCTTTAAGTCGTCCCGGAGCGCCACGGCAAATAATAATAATAATAGCCGTGTAACATGTTTATGTTTATGAATTAGTTCTTCAGGAAGCATGCCAAACATGTTTACCTGCAACGTCAGGTCCAAATGTTTCTACGTTTGAACGATTCCGGAAAACTTGGAAAAATATTGATCAAAGTAATTACATAACTGGATTGAACAATGAAATCATACGTGATAAATTCATGGATGAAAGAAATATTGTATTCCCATTTATTTCCAAACAACTCAATGTATAAATTATTTTTGATTATTTAATTAGTTCCAGTCAATTCGATCTTTCAACCATTTAATTACTTAAAAACATGATTTATTGAACTTTATCAGTAACATCATCCTCGAGATGATTATAAGGAATTCTTAAAACTAGTATATATTTTTTAAATGGTACGCAAACTTATCGTATCACATTTAAAGCTCCTCGAGCAACTCATCATACGGGATGGATGTTCAAGGCCATCTATTGCCTCAAAATGTACTCTGTTCAATTTAATGTTGGTAGTAAAAAAGAGTTACTTGGATTAGGTGACGTCTGTAGTTTTATAAGTATTGTTTATGTGAAAGCATGGTTTGAAGCTCTTAGTCCGATAAAGGGCTCCAGTTCAAGACTTACATTTTCTGAAAAATTTCATCAACTATAAAAATATCAATGAAAAGATTTTAAATGTTACTGTATTACCATTTTCGCGAAACTTATGGTACCTCACAGAAAAACTTGTAGCAATGTCTTTTTTTATTTCTAGTATAAGCTTGGAAATGAAAAAAGACGAGAGCAAAGTTGATGAAAACAAAATTATATTAACTAAAACACAACTTGATATGATTTTTCGAAAGATATCAGTGATTTTATCACAAAAAGATCCTTATAATTGTGTTTTCTAAATTTGTTAAGAAAAGATTCTAACAAATTTTCCAAATTTAAAAATATTTCCATGAAATTGATTTGATAACAGAAAAATAAAATAAAAATGTCTTTCCTCAATCAACAAATTGGACTGGTACATCTTAGAATTAATATTTAACTAGTGATTCAACCAACTGAAAGCAATTTCTGTAAAAGAAAATTCTATAAAGCTACGTCACTGATACGTCTGACTATAACACTCATGTCGATTCAAAACCGTGAAAATCCCTTTTGAATTTAACGGCAGTTGTTTCTGATTGTGCGGTTCATTTCATGCCCTCGTTATTGGATCGTATTCCGTTCTACCTTTTTGAGTTACTGACTCGACGATATTCGACTTTCTTTTCAACTTAAAACGTTATGTTTTCTAAATAATGACGAAAACGAAAGTGAGAATACGTTACATTAAACAAGCAGTCATTTATAACAAAATCAGAGGTGTTTGCACGATGTTCGTGAAAACTTTTACATTTGGTTGCAAGAAGGCATGTTAAATATTACAATAATTAAAGTGATAAAAAAATTACACGATAACTTTATGTATTAATTAACCCTTGGATCTGCCTGACTTATAAGTATAAAATATACGATTTTTTCATTGTTTATAAAACAATTTTGTATCTTATTTTTTGGTAATATCTCTATTCTGTAATTTTTATTTTTTAATATGTCCGAATATACCTAAAATTACAAGATTATTCAAAATTATTAAAATACTTAAATTACTACAACATTTTTAATCCAAATATCACACTTCGATATTGTGGTTTATAGGAACAAGGAAATTAATAATCTAAAACAAAAAACTGATAAGTTAGAAGCGACTATCTTGAGACAGGATAAAATAATTAAGTGCATTATGAAAAGTAATAAAAAGCATGAACGATTTATCCGAAAAATAAATTTTGGTCTATGGTATGAAAGAAAATGGCAATGAGGATTGTGAAACTGATGTAATAAATATTTTTACCAAAAAAATGAAATTAAAGATAAAGGACCTAGACATTGAACGATGCTTCAGGGTTAGAAAACCTAGCACATTATATTGCAGGCCTCTGTTGGTAAAATTCTTTAATAGTCGAAGCGTAGTTTTTTAAAATAAAAAAGATGGTCTTGGAAAAAGTTGAAAGAAATGGAAAAGCATGGTCGAAACTTTGCTGTCATATTCCTCAAATTTATAAACGATAATAATGTTAAGAAAATTATTTCTTCTAGAGATTTAGCTAGAAAATAATATGTAAATGTCAATTCTTGTTTAAAAAGTATTTTAAATGGTCTCTATTTTTTTGGAAATGATTAGTTTTTCTTTCTTTGTTTTGCAAATAAATATTTATTTAAGTCTTACTTATTTTATTAGGTTGTAAGATTAATATAGTACATAATAAGTGCAAAAGGCGCTCACCAGCATAATATTTTGAGTTCTTTATCTATACAGTTTTTAAATTGATTTTTTTTACTTTATCCTTTTCTGTGAAACATAATTATTATTTAGGAATGCTTGATAATTTATATATAGGATGTCTCAATGTAGGATCTCTTTAAACAAATTTTGAAAATGTAAAAATAATTTTTTATTTTATTTATATGTGAAACTTGGCCCAATGAAAATGTATCAAATGATGTAATTTCTCTTGAAGGCTACAACATATTTCGACTTAACCGTGGATTATTGGAAGGAGACTTGTGTATTTATGTTAACAATACAATATACAGGGTGTCCCAGCTAAAACTTGTCACCCCCTAATCTTCGAACTCGTGAAAAAAATTGAAAATCGCTCAGACCCGTCGATTTTTATTTCAAGGGGGAACACTTTCACCAAATACATCATCATTGTGTTGTCAACTCCCTCATCCCCAGCACCCCCTATTTAAAAATTTTCAATGGGACTACTTATTTGTGATACATCACTTTAAATCCCAAATACATCGGTGCACTGCACGACACTCTACAACAATTCTCCTGCGTAGATCGTCAAAAGAATTTGGCTGTGTAATATAAACTTTGGATTTCAAATGACCCCATAAAAAAAGTCTAATGGTGATAAATCAGGAGATCTAGCCGGCCATTCTATTGGTCCTCGCCTTCCAATCCATCTCCCTGTGAAAATGTGATCTAAAAATTGACGTACAGGTGCAACAAAATGTGGAGGAGCTCCATCTTGTTGAAAGGTGAGCTGACCTTCAAGTAGACCATCATCGTTTTCAAGTAATTCAGTGATTCTGGGGTTCATAGTTGTATCAAGAAGATCAAGATACTTTTGTCCGTTGAAGATACCATCAATTAAATATGGACTTACAATATGATCTCCCAGAATACCAGCCCAAACATTCAATTTCTGGGGAATTTGTGAATGAGTTTCCCTGTACCAATGGGAATTTACGTCACTCCAGTATCTGAAGTTGTGCCTGTTCACATGTCGATTTAAATAAAAAGAAGATTCGTCAGAAAAGCACACATTGTAGAGGTAAAATTATTATCACCAATCAATAACTGACTCATGATTTCACAAAACTCTGTACGTCTGTCAGGATCATCTTCATTTAATTCTTGTACATTCTGCATTTTATAAGGATGGAATTTTGCTTCTTTTAGAATTCGATGTACGCTGCTTTTAGAAACTCCAGAAATAGTCTCAAGTTGTCTTAAAGATTGAATGTTGTCCATCACTGCATGTCCTACAACTGCAACAGCGACCCCTTCATTTCTCATAGGCTTCTCACGTTCATGTTTTTTATTCAGTACTGATCCCGACTCCAGGAACTTATTCATCAATTGAATCACGTATTGATATGATGTGGTTTTTTCTGGATGAATTTCATTGAAACTTCGAGCCGTAGCTCTAGCACATCGTCCATTTTCAAAATACGCAGCTACAATTGATATTCTCTCTTGTATAGTATAAACCATTTTCGACAGTTTACAAATTGTTGAATGAAGTGAAT